GTGTATTTTTGAAAATGTCAAACTGTTTCTTTAAGTAAAAGTGAGGTACGTTTTTTTATTCGCAGCACAATGTTCCTAAAGTATCAAAAGTAATAACGCTCATTATGTAGATTAGCCTCTGTCAGTGTTATATTATCATATATTGCAATGCTGTATTTATGATTATACATTATTACTGTGTAAGCAGCAGTGCAGAGTTTTAGCTGTTACTGTGAACAACTGGTTAGTAATGTAAAACCATTCACTGTATTTTTATGGAGGATTTAAAAGTGTAAATCTGTACTATATATATATATATATCTATAATAAATGCAGTAGAATAAAAACGACTGCTTTAATAATGAATCTAATATGAATTCTCGTGAAGTATAAAGTAGCATAAAGAGCAGGTATCTTATTATTGCACTTAAGCGAAGTACTTAATGTATTTAATTAACATCACTGACACATTCATGAACACTTAGAAACCTTTTACATATACATACATGTTCTCTATGTATGCCTTGTACCTTCGTATATGTATTTAGAGTATTTAGTACAAATGTAACACCAGGTCAGTTTACTCTGGAAGGATTTCCATTTTTTTTATATTCTATTTATTTGCTTGGTTTTTCTGTATTCTTTCATTATTTCTATTCATTTTTAAAGTTTATTTTATCTACTCGTTATTATATTTCTTTTTTCTCCCTCTGAATCTCATTAATATTTGCTACAACAACAAGGTAATTTCCCTGCAGGGATCAATTGCCTCTTATCTTATTATCTTTCATTTAGTATTCATAATTGTTTTGGAGATGCTTTCATGATTTATAGGCTCAATCTGTTTAAATCAGCACTCAACAAGAGCAAGAGTTTAATAAGATATCCACAGTGCAGCCACAGTCTGTTGCTGCTGGGTATTTTCTGCATGAAGGTCCTCCTTAATGTCCCATCAATCACAGCACATAAATGCTCCACCATCCAGAAATAATAAAGGATTAGCAGAGCTGGAGAACATATTATTCCTATATAAAAAAATGTGCTTGTTGTTTTCTTTTAACTGTTGTATGTTTGCGTTCGCCAGAAATGATTCATCTTCTAATTAATCCTCTCCAGCTTTCATCCACAGTTTGAGTGTATTTGAGCTGATCAGAGAGGTTTTAAACTAACTGATGTCGGTGATGTTAAATAATGTTGACATGAAAATTCTGCTTTTATCATTGAGCCGATCAGTGAAGGCCTTTGTGTTTACGTACAGGACATTTCATTTAACTAAAACTCAGGCTGTAATTATATATATATTTATATTAGCTCCGGGGTTAGTATTGTTCTTGTTGAAATGGTGCCAGAGTCCACTGAACTCCACTGGAGTTCAATGTCCCTCTAGCTCCTCCAGGTGGAGAGTATGAATGAATGTGAAGTGGACTGAAGCGGCACCAACCAGTCTGATGACATTAATCAGAGCCATGGAGCCCTGTTCGGTACCACTTTACTATAATACTGTAATGAAGGGTATATACATCACCATCATCATTATCATTCATGCCATTTATAATTAATTAGTTAGTTGTGTTATTTTATTGGGAGAAGACTGAATGAGAGGCTGAAGGTTTAAAAAGTTACGATTTCTCACTAAAATTGTCTGGTTGGTGGATCAGATGTACACCGAATTAAACACACACTCATAACGCTGTTTATTGACCATTTATTGTGTGTGTGATGGTAGTTAAGATAACTACCCATTTTCTGCTTCATGTTTGGTGCTGAGGATAGCGTACTGATACTATTAAACTATCAGCTGCCCCGTCTTTCTCTCATTAACAGTCCAACAAAGGCTCTTCAAGCACGTTGGCATATTCGTGAGCTATTTAGCGTTGGACATTTATGGGTGATTGTGGGAGGATGCTGGGAGGGAAAGCACAATTCACAGCAGGTGGGTTTTCATGACGAGAACATTGCCTGAAGGCGTGCGGCGCATGGTTATAGAGATGTGAATATTTTCTTGAGTAGATTCAGATGTTTTAGGATAGAATCTACACAGGTTTTATGAATGAGGCCCCTGGTAATTAATTCATTATTAATCCTTCCTTAGACTACAAACCTAGTGAGTGTATCTTTCCAGCTGATCTCTCTTTAGAGCCACCACCTGTCTGTCTGTCTGTC